TTTTTTTTTTTTTTTTTTTTTTTTTTGGTTGCTTTTATTTATTTATTTATTTATTTATATTAATTTATATCTTGTAAATATCTATTAACTAATTTATTTATTTATTTATTTACTTATTTATTTATTTATTTATTTATTTATTTATTTATTTATTTATTCGTCCCTAGGTATATCATTTAGAATTGAAGCCCTCAAAGATTTTATTGGATGAATCTTTTGGACCAAAACTCACAGGATTTGGTAAATTAATTGTCTCCTTTTTTTTTTCTCCTTTTTTTTTTATTCTTTTTTATTCCTTTTTGTCTCCCCTTTTTTATTCTTATTTTTTTTCTTTATTATTGGCTCCTGTTTTTTATCTCCTTTTTTTTTCATTTTTTTCTTATTTTTTATTGTACTCTTTTTGTCTCCTTCTTTTTGTTTCCTCCTTTTTCTCTCCTTTTTTATTTATTTTTTTTTGTCTCCTTCTTTCTCCTTGTTTCTTCCTTTTAGGCATTGCAGAGATTGGACGCCGCTTGGCTCTTAATGTCACCGAGTGTCTACAGCGATGTCTGCAGGGGGCCCCTCGAGGGGCCCCTCTAGGGGCCCCTCCTCCTTGGGGTCCCCTTGTGGGCTCCCCTTGGGGGTCCCCTTGGGGGTCACCCAGTGCCGCGGGCCAGGCTGCTGGGGGCCCCCAGGGTTCAGCAGGTACGACTGCAGCAAAAGGGCACTGCATGCACACCTTTAGGGGCCCACTTCCTTTGCTGCTGCTGTACTTAATGGGCCTCACCAACGAGGGCCCCATTAAGGGGGGGGGCCCCCCACCTACAGTGTCACTGTCTTTGGTATCCTGTGTGCTCAGACAGAGACAACGAGGGGCAAGAGCAAGAGCAACAGCAGGAGGAGCAGCAGCAGCAGGAGCAGCAGCAACAGCAGCTGCAGCAGTATGAGCAGCAGCAGTATGAGCAGCAGCAGCAGGGAGCTGCTGCTCGGGCCCTCTTAGATGCTCTGCGGCAGTCTGATTGGTGTGAGAGAATGCTGCAGCTGCCGTGGAACCCCCCTTCGGTGAGGGTTTGCTGCTGCTGCTGCTGCTGCTGCTGCTGTTGCTGTGAAGGAGAGCAGCAGCAAGACTGTGTGTCAGTGTAGCGTTTGCTGCGAAGCGCAAGAGAGACAGGCATAGTGAATCAGCCGGCTGTCCAATTTAGGGTTTAGGGTTTTTAGGGTTTAGGGTTTAGGGTTTAGGGTTTAGGGTTTGTGTTAATCAGGTGTCTTTGGGTCTAAGCCACCCTGAGGAAAAGAAATACATCGACGTCTATTCCTTTGGAGCTGTTTTTTGGCAAATCGTAAACCCTAAACCCTAAACCCTAAACCCTTAAAAACTCCTGCTGCTGGCAATTACGATTTGTGGGTATACTTCGGGTTTAGGGTTTAGGGTTTAGGGTTTGCGTTGGAGGGTTTTCTTTGCTGCCGTCTTCGCAGCTCACAGGCCGCCCACCTTTTGCTGAGTTGTCCTCCGCGCAGATTGTTGTAAGTTGTCTAGGGTTTAGGGTTTAGGGTTTAGGGTTACACCAGGGTCGCCTCTTCTTCCGCTGTCTTAGGAGTCTCAGAGACATTTGCTTCTGCTGCTGCTGCTACGGCTGCTGCTGCTGATCTGCTGCTGCAGTTCGGAGCAGCAGCAGCAGCAGCAGCAGAGTTTCATTTACCAATTACTGTTAACTTAGGGTTTAGGGTTTAGGGTTTAGGGTTTTTCTTTTTTAGGGTTGCGTGGAGCTTTGGGACGATCCTCTTGGCAACCCTTGCAGCGGCATTCCTCACCAACTAATGGTAAGACCGTCTTGCTGCAGCTGCTGCCGCTGCTGCTGCTGCTGTTGCTGCTGCTGCTGTTGCTGCTGCTGTTGTTGTTGTTGCTGCTGCTGCTACTACTGCTGGTTTTGTATTGCTGCTTCTGCTGCTGCCGACTCCTCGGCACTGGCTGCTGCTACCTTCATGACGCAGCACTAATTCAATTTATTTATTTAATTTAATTAATTAATTAATTTATTTATTTATTTATTTATTTATTTTTTTTTTTCTTTATAGGTCCTCCTTAAGAAATGTTGCCAAAGGAAAGCAAACCGTCGGCCAACTTTCTTAGCTCTTTTGCATGCAATTGCTGCATTATACGCTAAGGTACGTCAGTACCCTATAGGGGCCCCCCTAGAGGGGGCCCCCCTCCCTCTTGGGGGGGGGCCGGACATTCCCTCAGAGGGGGCCCTTATATATAGGTGGGGTTGCTTGTGTTTATGCATGCAGACACACGAATCAGCAGAAGATGCATTAGAGGAATTCATGGGGGCAATTTACTGATTGCTAATTGGGTACTAAATTATACTAATTATACCCTATAAGGGGGGCCCCCCGTGGATACACAGAGTGTCAAGGGGGGCCCCCCTGGGTACAGAATGCCAAGTGGACCCCTCCGCAGAGTACAGAGTACCAAGGAGGTTCTCGCAGGGCACAGAGGGTCAAAGGGGGCCCCTGCAGGGTACAGACGGCCAAGGGGCCCCCATTTTTTTATATTCCTCTTATTATTTTATTGTTATTGTTGTTATTATTAATTATTATTATTATATGTACACTAATGTGGGCATTTAATGCATTTATTTCCTTATATAATTCAAGTGTATGTACAGCTAATGCAGCAGAGGCAGCGCAGCTGCTGCGTCTATTTTTTTGGGGCCCCACAGTGACGGCATTAGGAGGAGGGAGACCCCAAGGGGCCCCTCCTCTTATTGCTCTTGGGGGCCCCCAAGTGGGCCCCCCTCTTATTGCTACCCGGGGACCCACTAGGGGCCCCCCTTTCAAACCCCTAGGGGGGCCCCCTTACTAAAGGGGGCCCCCCTAAACCCAGCGTGGGGGGCCCCCCTCCTCAGTCTTTTTATGATTGCATTGGGGGCCCCCCTTCAACGTGTTGTATGTGTTATTATGAAGTTTAACTTTTTTGTCCCTTTTGTCCCTTTTTGTCCCTTTTGTCTCTTTTTCCCTTATTTCTTTTGTCCCTTTTGTCTCTTTTCTGTCTATTATACCGTTATATTTGTCTCTTTTTTATTCCTTTTCCTTTCTCTCTTTTGTGTCTCCTTTACTAATATATTTCCCTTTCCTGTATCCTTTTATTATTACATTTATTTATTGTATTTATTTTTTTATTATTTATAATAACAATAAAACCCTAATTAGCTAATAAACCCTAAATAAGAGATAAGAAAGAATTAAAAAAAAAATAAAATAAACGCATGCAGCCCCAAAGAATTACACAAAAACATTAAAAGATAAAAAGACACACATAGTCTATTTATATGACAAATTCCTTAACATTGCAGCAGCAGCAACAGCAGCAGCCTCCTGCTGCTGCTGTTGCTGCTGCTACCACTGCGGGTGCTGCTGGAGCCTGAAGATGCTGCTGGTGCTAGTGCTGCAGCAGCAACAACAGCAGCAGCAGCAGCAGGAGTGCATACGTTATAACAAACCCTGTACCCACTAACGTCTCCTGGGGGCCCCCCCATCGGGTACGAAGGGGGCCCCAAACCCTACTTGGGGTTCTTCAAAGGAAGAAGAAGGGTTTGGAGGAGTGTAAACCCCTGGCTGACCTGCAGCAGCAGCAGCAGAGGCAGCAGCAGAAGCAGCAACAGCAGCAGCAGCAGGAGAAAATTCATTCGTCTGTGAACACCTCAAAAACCCGAAACCCTAAACCCTCAGGGTTTGTCTGCCTAAAGTAACACCAATATCCCTACTAAACCCTAAACCCTAAACCCTACGTTGTCTCCTGCGGCCATGAGGCGAAGGTGCCTCCTCATCAGAGAAGCAGCTGCAACAACAAAAGTAGCAAGCAGCAGCAGCAGCAGCAGCAGCAATCAGGGTTTATCTAGGGTACAGGGTTTGATGGTGGCAGTCAGGGGCAACTACGATAAACCCTCCGCCAAGGACTTTAATTTTTAGGGTTTAGGGTTTAGGGTTTAGGGTTTAGGGTTTACTGGAAGTAACCATCGTTGCGGATGCTGGGGTCGCTGGCAAGAACTTTTATGTGTACATGGGCAACCTGACCACACAAACCCTAAACCCTAAACCCTAAACCCTAGACACAAACCATTAGTAGCCAAAAGGAATGTGGGCACAATCAATGCTGTACACTATCCAATTATTAGGGTTTAGGGTTTAGGGTTTAACCACCTCCGCTGTTGCTGTAATATCCTGGTCTAAGCTTCCTTCTCCCTCTTCTTGTTCTTCTCCAGCACCTCCTCTCCTGCACCAAACCCTAAACCCTAAACCCTAAACCTTAAACCCTGACAGCATGCAATTCCTCTCTAGCTTCGAAACATCCTAAACCCTAATGCTCTTTCTAAACCCTAGGGTTTGGTTCACAACAAGGGTTTAGGGTTTGGGGTTTAGGAAGACGTACGTTGCCTGGTGCCCCCCTAAACGGAAGGCAAGAAGCCCAACAAGCAATATTAGCTGCAGCAAGGATACAGCAACAGCAACAGCAGCAGCAGCAGCAGCAGCAACAGCAGCAGCAAAGAATGTGTTGGGTTACCAAGGAGCCCAGGGCAGAGGGCAAAGAAGAAAAAGGAAGGGACAATGCAAGAAAACGACAAAACCCCAAACCCTAAACCCTAAACCCTAAACCCTAGAAATGATATTCACCAAGCCAAAAAAATCTGTCGCCTTCGCGGGCACTGCGCTGTCTCCCTGCAGAGAAACACAAAGCATATTCGCAACCCTGATAAGGGTTTAGGGTTTAGGGTTTAGCAGCAAGTAATACACACTAGGGTGAACCATCCGTCTCTGCCAACAGCAGCAGCAGCAGCAGGAAATGCTGCAGCAGCAGCAGCAACTGCAGCAGTTGCTGCTTCCCGGCACAAAACCCCCACGGTCCCAAGCCGCATCCTACCCAACCCCCCAAACCCTAAACCCTAAACCCTAAACCCTAATCAGTTGTCTTCTTACCACAATGAGCCTTGAATAGAAGGCCATAGAAGTTAGAGGAAGACGAACAGTCATGATAAGAAACAAGACTGTTGCCCCGCAGTGTTTAAGGACCTGCATATAAACCCTAAACCCTAAACCCTAAACCCTAAACCCTAATTTCTGAACTGTAAGTGCTATACAACTCTAGACCCTAAACCCTAAACCCTAAACCCTAGATCCAAGACCCACAAGCATAGAGCAGACGTTGTATATTAAGTTGAAGAGAATGTACACCGCAACTTCAACCTGCAAACCCCAATCAGAAACCCTAAACCCTAAACCCTAAACCCTAGAATCTCTAGAAAATCTAACTGCCCCGGTAAGAGTGCCATGCCAAACAAGGGTTTAGGGTTTAGGGTTTACCCATGCCCCCTGACAAGAGTCGCAGGCAACTCCTAAGGTAGGCCCGCAGACCTGAGGAGACAGAAGAAGAAGGATACACTAATAAAAAGGAGACACTAATAAAAAGGAGACACTTAATAAATAAAATTAAATAAATAAATAAAATAAATAAAAAATAGGAAAAAGACCTAAAAAAAAAGAGGAAAAGGAGGGGGATACAATAAAGAGTATAATACTAATAAAATAAATAGATAAAATCAATAAATAAATAAATAAATAAAATAAATAAATAAAAAAGGAGACACTTACTGGGGGTACAATTGTATCTTTTCCTAAGAAACATTTTCCTCCATTTATTAATCGTCGCCATAAATCGCCTAAGGGTACAACTTCTATTTAATTAAAAAAAAAAAAAAAAAAAAAAAAAAAAAAAAAAAAAAAA